CGTCAACTATTGCGAAAATTGCAAAATGGTACATGACTTTTCGACTCTGTTTGGCTCGCTCTATCTAAATATGAAAAAAGTACCAAGAATTCAGGGGCACCCTGTGTATATATATATATATATATATATATATATATATATATATATATGTGCATTTTTTAAACTTTGTATAGAAAAAAAAGAAAAAAAGAACGAGTCTAAAAGAAGTGATGCAATACCAAAACGCAAAAAGATGCCGAAAATTAGAGAAGATGTAACTTTAACCAGAGCATGGGTAGAAGATCGCCATATACTACCTATAGGAAGTCGAATGTTATATGAAAAACAGGAACAACCAGTAGTGAAGATAGATGCAGTATCTAATAAATTAAAGGCGTCGTTGAAAACACTGGAAAAAGTTATGGCCCAAGCTAATTCAATGATAGAAAATATGATAAAAGTCTTCTTTGCGAATCTCGAAAAAGAGAGAGTAAAACTTAAATAATCTTTTTAGAGACAAGCAATAAAAATACGCAAAGTTCAGTAAAAAACAGGACACAAACGGTTAAAGAATTAGAAGTAGAGTTTAAAAAGAGAAAGTTAGATGAAACAACAGTCTGTTCAGCCGAAAAAGATAGAAGTTTAGAGACAATTAAAAAAACTTTAGAAGTGGAATTAAACAATCAAAGGTTGCATATTAAAAGAGAATATAAGATGACGCAAAAATCCAACTTTGATCTTTGGATGGATTATTTAAAATCCGAGTTAATGAATAACGATTTGTTAGATGTAATAGATTCAAACATTGAAAATCCAGAAAATCTTTCTGAATTAAAAGTTGCTAAGAGAAAAAGTCTACTTAGAGATATAATAAATTAATCATTTAGATAAAAATTATCATAAAAAGATCTTACATGAAAAAGATCCGAAAGAAATTTTAAAGAAACTAAGAGGATATAAAAAGAGTAAAATAAATGTTACTCATGCATCGGTACGAGCTAGACTTTATCAAATCAAAATGAGAAAAGATGAAAAAGTAAGTGATTTTTGCGAACGCTTTGATTCAATAATTAGAGAATATGAATCATGTGAAGATGCGGTAACTCTCTCACAGAACAAGAGATTAGATCTGCATTTTATCAGGCTGTGTCAATTAATGTACCAGAGCTGAGGAATGTAGATTTGATTAAAAGACAAACTAATCTTAAAGAAATAAACATAGATAAAATAAAATCTTTTATGATGCAGTTAGAGGCAGAGACTAAAAGTAAGATTGAAGAGAAAACAGAGAAACCTGAAATTAAAGTACAGAGGGCTGCCGCAGAAGAAAATACTAGACAGATGAAGTGCTACAGATGCAACCGAATAGGTCATATGGCAAAGGACTGCCCACTAGCGGAGTCAGAGGCCTGGTTCTGTTATTACTGTCAGGAGATACGAGGTCACAAGAGTAATAGTTGTCCGAATGCTGGAACCCAGGCGAATAGATTTAGAGGAAAAAGGTATTTAAATAAAACCGTTAATAAAAAGGGTAAATTTGATCAAAAAGGCACTAAGAGAGTAAATAATAAAGGGAAAATAACCAAGATACAAAACGTCAAGAAACCTATACCAACGAAAACAGCAGATGAAGGAGAATCAAAAAAAGGTAAATAATGTATGGTTAAATTAATAGAAGATAGAGATAGTTCAAAAGAGTTAGTCAATTTTATTGCTGATTCGGGTGCTACGGATCATGTTGTGAATAACAATATTATTATGTCAAATTTTGAAAGATGTAGAGATAGAGTTATTAAATGTGCAAATAAAAATGAGCTTGCAGACATTTCAATAGATGGTAAAGAAGATCTTTTGTTGATAACAAATGGAAAAGACAAGAGAGTCATTAAATTAACAAATGTAATTGCAACAAAGGAAGTATCCGAAAATTTGTTATCTCTAAGAAAGTTGGCTGATGCAAGGTTCAGTATTTATTTAGATGATAAATTGTTTAAAGTTTACAATAAACTGACAAATAAAATAGTTTTTGAAAGAATTTATGAGAAACTAAATTAGATTATACAATTTGAGGCAAAAAATAATAATATAGAGGATAATGATAATGTAGAATGTGCTGTGTATCGATGTAGAGCAGAAATTGTTCCATAGTGCGAGCTTTCTGAACAATCGCAAGCAAACATTCAAAACAATGAATTATCAATTTCGGAGGGAGAGTTAGATGAGAGAGATAATGTTGGCTTTGCAATTGAGAGGGAGAATAAAGGAGAGCTCGCAAATGTGAACGAAAATATAGAACACAACAATGCTGAACTCGAGCAAGTCATTAAGTAAAAGGATATACAGACAATAGAGAATATAGAAGAAATGTGTGAAAGCTCAGTAATTGAAAAAGTAAAGAAATTAGAGAAAATAAATGAGGCAATGTTATGGCATGCTAGATTAGGTCATGCATCGTTAAACTATCAAAGATAATTACAAAAAGTAGAAAAGAGATTAGTGAATGTTAAGTTTGATAACTCCATATTAAAGTGTAAAGTCTGTATAATGGCAAAGATGACAAAATTGCCGTTTAAAGAAAATAGAAATAGAGCACAGAGACCACTACAGGTAATACATACGGACATCATGTGTCCAATAAAACCTACATCCTATCCAGGACAAAAGAGGTTTATAATCATCTTTATAGACGACTCTAGATTAGCGAAAACCTACTCTTTGAAGACGAAAGATGAATCGGGAGAGGCTCTAGAAAAATATCTAATATCCGTCAGAAATCTACTAGGAAAAGAAGAAAAGTTATGCTACGTGAAGTCAGACCAAGGCAAGGAATTCACGGGAGGTGTATTTAAAGAGGTAGTGAAAAGAGAAAAGATAGAAGCAATATTTGTACCACTGTACACTCCGGAACACAATGGAGTTGCAGAAAGGTTCAACAGAACGTTGCAAGAGAAAGTAAGAACATACATGTTCGACTCGGGATTACCCAAGAGTTTGACGGAGTTGGCAGTTGACGCTGCTGTGCATGCGTACAACAGATCTCCACATAAAAGTGTATAGAGTGAGAGATCCCGTTGAAGAAGTCTTCATCAGAAACGAGTTGTCATTTTGAGCAAATAAAGAGATTTGGATGTATAAAGTTATATAGAAGATATTGAATCGATGTCTTCTGGCATCATTACATAGAGAGTCTTCAACATATGAAGAGCCAATGACAAGTAGCTAAAGAGAAGAAACTGGAAACAGAAAACATATGGCTGACACTCATGGAGATTTTATCAAGCAATGTGTTGATCAAGAGAAGGTGAAAATCGAATGGATTGAGACAAAAAAAAATTTGGCAGACATTATGACAAAAACCTTTACCTTTAAAAGCATTTGCATATCTAAGAGACAAGATAATGAATATAGAGTTTGAACAAAGTTAGAGATTAATTTTACTTGATAACTAATTCTTGTTATGTTTCAGATAAAGAGGAAACTTAGAAAGGGACCATGGATCGCTCGCACAAAGGAAGGGAGTATTGTGAAAAAAGCTTTGAACGAGCAGTGAGCTCCCGCCCTTCCAGAGGGCAGCTTCCGGTTGGTGGCGTGGCGCGAAGCGCCACGTGTGCGTGCGGGCATCTTGGGTGCTCAGAAGAGTCTCGATCACGGTCGTGTTCAGACGTCGATTACGGTTTAAGATACAAAGTGTGATATAGAATAAAGAGTGTACTCAGAGTGTTGAAATAACTAGAAGAGATTATTTCCTGCCCATCTCGCCACATCCCGTAGCGTTCCAAGCGATATTTCCAATAAATATTTTGAAGTGAAACTTCTTTAGGCACGGTAGTGAGTTCGATTCGCGACACGAAAAAGTGTAACAGAAGTGAAATTTCTTTGGTACGGTAGTAAGTTCGATTGTGCGACACGAAAAGTGTAACGAAAATTTGACCAATAGGCGTACGGCGTTGGCGAGACGGTTCTTCTTCTGGCACGGTAGTAAGTTCGATTATGCGACACGAAAAGTGTAACGAAAATTCGACCAATAGGCGTACGAAATAAAACTTCTTTGGTACGGTAGTTAGTTCGATTGTGCGACACGAAAAAACGTCACGAAATAGTGTCACGAAAATTCGACCAACAGGCGTACAAAGTGAAACTCCTTTTGTATAAGATATGTTTTGAATACTTTTCGAGGTATACATGGTGGTTCAGGACCTCTGCAACAAACTCTAAGGAACAATAGATCTCGCAGAGAGGACCAAGCATTTTCTGTAAAGCAACCCAAGTTCTCTGCGGCGTCGTTTAGGAGCTACGCAACCGCGCAGACAGGTCTCAGTAACATTTATTACATAGGTTCAGGATAGATACTTTGAACGCCTTCTGTAAACTGTCTGCAAGTGTACTTGAAACAATAAATAAATAATTTATCTCATAATTGTAATAAATGTCACCTTAGACCTGTTTGCACGGTCGTGTAGCTCCTAAGCGACGTGTCAAAGAACATGAGTTGCTTCACAGAAAATGGTCTTCTCTGAGAGATCTATCGTTCCTCAGAGTTTGTCGCAGAGATCTTAAATCACCCTGTATATCAAGAAAAGCAAAAAACTGCTCTACATATGAGGAATGTTTTCGTCCCTTAGAATCGTTTTTGGACTGCAAATAAAACTTCTAAATTCGTCTATTTCCTTACATGTGTAAGTTTCATCAAAATCAGAATTTTCGGATTCGCGAGGTTCCCTTGTTAAATTGTTTTGAACGGCAATTACCTACACTGGCCTACAGAATCAGATGAACAAAGAAATAGATTTCATCAAGTAGCCAAGCCTATAGAGACACGGTATAAAGGAAAAAACTGGATTTTATGCTGAATGACTTAAATTGATTCTTGATTGAGGACGACAATGTTGAACTGCCGCAAGCTAAAAAAAATAATTTTTAATTATTTCTTACCAATTTTCTTGCAAAATTTAATTGATTTCATTTCATTACCTACTTTTAAAAATTCACATCGGCTAAATTCCCGTTAAAATGTTATTATTTTAAAATTACACTTTGAAATAAAACTAGATTTGGCTCTAAAATAGCTCAAAAGTAACCAACCTTCAAATTTAAAAAAAAGGTTTGATGTAATGAAAATGAATGGTTGATATTGGTGTGCTATGAAGGCATCCACCTATCATAATCCACTATCGGAACATAACAATTATTTTGGTTGTTGTACTGTGTTACTTTTGCTCTTAAGGTAGGTTTTCATGGGCAGTGAAATGCTGCAGCAGCGAGCAGCAGTTTAGTAATTTCTTGGAAATTACTAAGTAATTTCTAGAAAAATTGAGTAATTTGTAGGAAAGTTTAGTAACTTGCTAGGAATTTTCTAAGAAATTACTAAACTGCTGCTCGCTGCTGCAGCATTTTACTACCCATGAAAACCTACCTTTAGTTCTAAAATAATATTTGTTTAATTATGTAATTATTACAGTGGAATTTATTACCTTGCCTGGAATGAGCATGTGCTACATGACGTAAACTATCGACACTCGGTGGTTGAGGTACAGAATGTGTTTCCTCTGCATGCAAAAGCTGACAAAATACTATTTGCTCATGTTGCGTTTGTCTTTGAACTTCTGATGCCATTGGTTGAATTTGTGCATACGTTTCGCTTCCACTGGTATATACCTTATCCTGCTCATCAATCGCAGCGTACATTTCATCTACAAAATGTCAGATTATGTAAAGTTTTTATGTATTATATTAATTATATTATATAATCATATCTAAAGTTTATTTACCAGAATCATCAGAAACAGTAGCATAATGAGGATCGATGATTGGTCTATTAGATTGATTTTGTCTGTAAGTTGCTTTGGTTTGTGCTATTATATTGGCTAATGGTTCTCTTACGCTTATACTTGTATATCCTTCTATAGTAAAAACGATGAAAATAACGCAATTTATTAAAAATTATTTATTATACAGTAAATATAAAAGTGCAAAGAAAAAATAACGCAATTACTCGAATCTTGCGAATCTCCACTAAAATGCTGTTGCGGACTGTTTTGTTGGGAATGCGGTGGATATGGCAGTAACATCAAGAGAGGCGGTGTCATATAGGGCAAGTCTTGATTAGCTTGAACACCACCAGAAATAGCGTTAGCGGCCTGGATATCGTAATGCGTCTCGGAATTAAGAAGCGAATTGTGCGAGGAGGATCGTCGAGTTCTCGGTGGTGCGATTGGATTTCCATTTGATTGATCCATAGATGTTGAAGGCTTTTCAATATTTGTAACTTGATTAACATCATTTCTGCAAATTATAAGAAATAAAAACTACATATTCTAAACGTAAATCGAACAGCCGACTTTCGAACAAAAACAAAGGATGTTAATTTAAACCACAATTTTATTAAATCATATAAACAAAAATAGTTTACGTTTTGAACACATTTTTGTCGATTGTCACTTGATTTTATTTTATTAATTGTTAACATCTTCCCTATTTTATCTATTTTATGAGATGTAATTTATCAAATATGTTCTTTTGCGTTGTGAGGAAGATTTAGTAAGTCGAAACGTAAACTATTTATATTTATATGATTTAATGAAATTGTGATTTAAACTAAAATCCTTTATTTTTGCTTGAAAGTCGACTAACCGACTGTTTGATTTACGTTAGCTTTGCTTTTACCAAGTCTAGAGTTTTCTTTTTATACTAGATATTCTCTGAAATAAGACAAGATAAAGTATACAGGGTGTTTCTTAAGTGATATAAAAAACTACAAGAAATAAATGCTTTCTTGCAGAGTTATGGGCCTTCAAAGTTAAAGAAAAATAAAAGTTTGAAGGCCCATAACTCTACAGGGAAATATTTCCAAACCCATGTTTATAGAAACTTTATTCTTTAAAATTGTCCAAGGAATCACTTCCTGGAATTTTTGATATCACTTAGGAAACATCCTATATATATATGTAGAGCAGTAATAAGTATAGGACAATATAAAGCATAGGAATAGTAAATAAATAATACCTATTTATTTGACTAGCCTCAGTCGTTTGAATATTTTGAAGTTGTGCATAAGGATGTTCAACTGAAATAAATTAGAATGTCATTAAATAATAAACAAATATAAAAGCATCTAATAATAATTCATCCACCATTGTCAGAGACAGGAGATGCAAATCTTGTATATTGATGAGATGTATCTTGTAGCAAAGAACACCCTTGCAAAATAGTATCCTGTGTTTCCCTGTCACACACCTGTTCTTGAGCTAAAAAATAAATAGGTAGAAAATAAAGTAGATAGTAACATAAAATAAAATAATAGAATAAAGTAAAAAGTTTTATTATTTTTCCATTTTCAATCATTTACATCTTAATTTAGGAGAGACCGGGGCTATCTGTCTACGGGGGCTATGTGTCCACAGTACTTTTAAGAGACAGATGTCTTTTCCATTGTAACAAGTAGTTGAAAAATGCCCTACGTAAGATATTTAAATGTTGTTTAAATGTTTGTTTTCTTGCAATGCCTCTCGCAGACGCTATATACGTTAAAAAAAAAGCGAAAACAATTATTCACATTTTTTGACGGTCGAAAAATTTGCTGTGCGACAGTAGTTTATCTCAAATTAAAATAAGCAATTCATAATATTATCAATTAATATATAGTTCTCAGGTGTGAGAAGCGTCAAATCTTAATTCTGCATTATCTAAAATTGGCAACATGTTAAAGACTGAAAAATGTGGTCGGGGCTATTTGTCCTATTTTTGATGGGGCAATGTGTCCACACTTCAATGACGAATTATTCTTTTATAAATAGATAATGGTGCGTAACTACAAAAGAAAGACTTTCCTTAAGACGGATAAGGTAGACATATCTAATAAAATTATATTTAGAGCGATTAAAGAAATAAGAATTGAGCAAGAATCTTTTCGTAAAAACAGCGTTAGACTTTGGAATAAATGTTTGGGCTCTCACTCGCTACTGTAAAAAAGTGATCTACGAGCAACTACTTGATCTTGCGCGTCAAGAATTGTCACCAAATTTTTATTTTAAAAATACACGTCAAGTTAAATGTATGAGTTTGTCTTAAATTATTGAGTATTTTCTATTTCAAACGCTGCCGAAGATAAAGTAAAGGCCCCAAATAAAAAAAAGATTAAAGAATTGAGGGGAGACAAAAGAAACTCATCACATTGATTTTGCAATAGACTCAAAATCAGTTTCACCACCGTATATAAAGAAGTCAGCTCTACGCAGGAAACTTGTCAAAAAATCTACACAAAGTGCCTACTACTTCTCTGACTCCAACGGCTAGGCAGTTTTTTCAATACTATATATTAATAATAAATAATATTATAAATAAGTATAAAAATTAATATAAATAATGTGTTTTTTATTATGTGGATAGATAGCCCCCCATATGCGGGGCTATCTGTCTACGCTTGACGTGTCCATTTAAAACAATCGCCTCTTTAAAATGTTAAAAGATCAACGATTCTAATTATTTTTTTTAATAGCAAGGTTGAAAGGTTATACCATTAAAATTTTAACCAAATATTTTTATTAGTTTTTTAGTAAACTTGAAAAAAGCGTAAAGTGAGGACACATATAGCCCCGGTCTCCCCTACTAATTTTTATCTTAATTATTTGTCTTAATTTAGTATTACCTGCATCTTGGACTGTAGCATACAATTCTGAATGATCTCCCATAATTTCAGTAGTCTCATAAATATCTTGAGGCACAGAATCTATCATATCTTCATGTTCTCTGCTCTTATCTTTTGGAATATCTGGAAGACTTCTATTGGCACTCGTAGTCCTATATAAATAAAAAAGAATATATATATATATATATATATATATACTAGCATTTAAGTCCGTGCTACGCGCGGAAGTATATCATATAGTTCGATGCTTAATATATGCCAATCAAATAGAAAATTAATAGCGAATTAACTCAAGCATTCCAAGTATGAACATTTAGACGCAACAAACTTATTTTAACCCTCAGGGTACAGACTGGGTTAGCGTAACCCGAGCGAATTTTGAAAGTAGCGCCATTTCAAAGGAAGTGAATGGTTGGGGTTCCGTACCGGAGGGGAAAAATCTTTGAGGTAGCTACTATGTGAGCGACAAGGGGCAGCGTCAGTCTACGCTTGGTGCTCAAATTATACGATTTTGAAAATTGAACTCGGGTAGTCTACACCCAGTCCGTACGGAACGTTACAAAATCCGTGTTTTTCAAAAAAAAAATTGTGTTTTTCGAGTATTTGCTGCAGTAGGTTTTTTTTTTTAGTATTCTGGTATGTATAATTTACTATTTTTAATATACTTTTGTGCATTCTAACCTCAAAATTATGCTCTGTAGCATACCAGCATAACGTATCCGTGCATGCATGTTAATATTATTTCAATTTTTGTTATTATACTAATCATCCAAAAGAACTACTTTTACTTTAAGATATTTTTTTTGTGTTATTACGATAAATCAAGCAAGTAACGCAAGTTATCGCAAAAAAACGGGTATCTTCATAGTTAAAAAAAAATATACTTTTTGGAATGGATCAAAAAACAAATTTAACCATTTCAAAGAACAACTTTTTAGCTTTCAAACGCGACTTAAAAAATGTCGATATCTTTTTTTTCACAAAGTTATGCAATTTAAAAGAAAAAATAAATTTTTATGAAAATTTTTTGAGAACGGTTTACATTTTCAAATGTATCTTTGTTTAAACAAATAATGTAATAAATCTATCATCGCCATTTTATTTTTGAAAAAATTTCCGATCTAAAAAAAAAAATTTGTTTCAATTGACAAATTACAGCCCGATATACAGTCAATCAAAGTCGCCGGGTTAGATTAACCCATATCCGTACGGAACGTAACTTTTTTATAGTCCGTACCCTGAGAGTTAAAATTATTTATTCATTAAATCATATTATATCAAATAATTCACCGTCTTTCTTTCAGATCATCTACAGCGGGTGAAATATATACACATATTTTTTTAAAATGTGATTTTTCGATGTTTTAAAACATTCTGAACACATTGGTATAGAAAACTGAAAAAAAAGGCACCAGTTTTCAGAAAATTGGTCTATTAATAAAAAATTAAACTTATTGTTGCCATCTTCAAAAAATTAGTAACATTTTTGCACCGGTTTAAAAAAAATCAACAGATCGATACATTAATGAAAAATTAAACCCATCGTCGCCATCCCCGGAAAATTGGAAAAATTTTGACACCAGTTTCAAGAAAATCGGTCCATTAATGAATGAGTAGTTTGCAATCTGGAAAATTAAAAAATTTTTGGAACCGCGATTTTAAAAAAATTGATCCATTAATGAAAAATTAAACCCATCATAATTACAAAAATTGTGGCACCAGTTTCATGAAAATCGGTCCATTAATGAATAAGTAACTTGCGATCAGACTGATAGACATTAGTACTTATCATTTTCTAAAAAATTAGAAAAATTTTAGAACAGGTTAAGTTTAAAAAAAATTGGTAATAATAGGTACAATTCTTTATACACATCGCCATCCCCAAAAAATTAAAAAAATTTTTGCACCGGTTTGGAGAAAATCGGTCCATTAATGAATGAGTAGTTTGCGATGAGACAGACAGACAGACAGACAGACAAACATCAGATACTTATAATAATAAATGTTCAAAGTTATTCGAGCGATTTATGAACCTGTATATTATTTTAGTTACATATTAAAAGACACGGTAGTGTCTCGCGCCAAGTACACGCGAAGCGAGACCGCACCGTGACTCTTTTACGCAAACACACGAGTTGCAAGTACACGAGATTTTGAGATCTCAATAACGAGTGAACGGATCAAGTTCTAAGAAGGCTTGATCGATAGCTTCGGTTTGAATTATGTAATAAAAGTGTTTTTATTTTTCCGCTACGTGCCCTACAAGCGAAGATATCGCGATGCAAAGTCCGACAAAGTCCAAATATGAAATTTTTTTATTAAAATACGGACCTCTCGAACGTCTTTCACGCTTTTGAGTACAGATGGCTCTTGATCCAATAAATCACGCGCGCATTATTATCGATCTAGTAGATAAATTAGATCTATATAGACTTATCGGCAGGAGGAAAATTTCTATTTAGGTAAATTTAGGTCGATATAAACTTATCGGCCAGGAGGTTATTTATTACGCGGACGGTTTTTAATATATAATATGTATGTACGTATGCGCTCAGCGCGTTCAACGCACTCAGTAGTTATAACCTAGAAATGAATAGTGACAGTCGTGACAGGTGACAGATGTCAAATAGTGATAGTAATCATCAACAATATATACATTTGACCGTAAGGAGCTGACGCCGATGAGATGTTTAAGAAGGAAGGTATATCCAAAATTGCACACGTACGTACATATATGTATATTCTGTTTTGTAAAAGTTAAAGAGAACGAAAAAGTGATCTGTAGCGCAATTTGTATTGTAGGCAAGTTATGCTAAAATATTAGTTGAATCGAGTCCATTATTATGATAGACGTTAATTTTATACCTTGATGTGTTTGGAAATATTAATTATTCACGAAATTAGCAATAACAATTAACAAAATAAATTTTGGTAAATATGTATGTATATAGGCACCCTCTCCGATTTCTTTGAAATTTTCAAATTTTGTATACTTATTTTGTATACCTACTTTGTGTAGTAAAAAAGATTCTGAGAATAAAAATCGTCGCTCATGTTCCGTTTGTTTCTATAATTAATACTTAAAATATCATGATGTCAATAAGTAAGGAAATGATAATTGAAACGATAATTTATAGATATATATTTGGCTTCTTTTACTTCAATTAGATCATATTACGCTATTTACAACTTCAATATAGTATCTGATTGATATATTAAATTTAATAGAACAAATTAATAATAGTCCTTGCTTGCAGTTCAAAATATGTAATTGGTAATGCGAATACGTGACCCAAATTTATTCGAAAAAATGTTTTGGGGTAAAAATATAAAGGATCACAATTAAAACAGACAACTGTTTGTAGTTTTAGTTAAAAAAGCAGAGAATACTCTGTATTTATGCTTTCTACTATTCTCTGCTTTAACAAAGATTATAATTTTAAAATATATAATTGAATAAAGTTGTAAATAACATATGATCTAGTAATAAGAAGCAAAATATATATCCATAAATTATTATTTCTTTACTTACCAACATCGTGATATTTTAAATATTAATTATAAACAAACGGAATGAGCGATAATTTTCTTTCTGAGAATCTTTTTTACAAAATACACAAAATTTGAAAATTTTAAAGAAATCGGAGAGAATGCCTTTATATTACATATTTACCTAAATTTTTATTGAATTAGCAAATTAGTAATTAGTCGCAAAAAATTATTAATTACGTAAAAATTAATAATATTTAGGTAAAAGTGAGTTACAGAGTTACGCATTACTCACAAAATTGGTAATTTGTCAGAGAAAAATTTCTAGTTACGCGAAAATTAGTATTTAGGCAAAAATGAAGTAATTTCTTTTGCAAATTGATAATTAGTAGAAATAAATTCTTTATATAATAATAAAGGCTCACAAGATTAGAAATCAATCAAAGAAAAACGAAGCCGTGACTAGGTGTTGGTGTTCATATATTCTATACTTAAATAAAAAAGTAACGAATTATAATGTACATACTGTACATATACATAAAGGGTTGGGTACGTCCCTATAGTAAAAAAAACGCTCTTTAAGACCCCTTTGGGGTAAATAAAATACTATTATCTAGCGGCAGTGTGGTCTAGTGGTAGAGCGCCAGACTCGTAATCTGAGGAACCAGGTTTGAGTCCACTAGAGCCATGTAAACATTTTCGGAAAGTTTTTTCCGAAAGCTGCGCCCTCCGTGCAAGATAGGCTTTTGTGCGGAGCAAACTGGGCTCCGTCTTTTGGAAAGAAACGTTAAGCCGTTGGTCTAAAGGATTAAGTGAAAGAAGAAGAGTAGTAATGGATGAGAATTAAATAAAGGGTTGGAAACGTCTCTACAAAACGCCTTGCAACCCTGAGAAGAGTCAATAAACGTATTTATCTAATTGTAAGTACCATTTTCTATCTATCTGTACATATACATATATTCCAACTTAATAGACAACGCGCCGCATATTTGTCGGACTTGAAACACAGCTATCTTGGAACATTAATACCCTTCCCTCCCCGGAATTAAATCAAAGCAATTTAATTGTTTAAAAAACTGTAAAGAATTTATTGCGAAAAATATGGAAGTATTTTTTAGGTAATATTTTTCTCAATAAATTCTTTAGATGGGATATGTGTATATGTACAGTATGTACATTATAATTCGTTACTTTTTTACTAAGTATAGAATATATGAACACCAACACTTTGTTACAGCTCAGTGCTCCATTTTTCTTCGATTGATTTTAAATTCTTTATTACTAAAATAATTAATAGTTTGTCAAAAATATAAATATATAAATATATAAATATAAATATAAATTACTTATGTCTTTTGATTTTAAAAGTTATTAATTAGTTTAATATAAATGATTTAATTATTGCATTTAAAAAAATGGTTAAAAATAATTATGTTAATGTTATATGTATACATATTTAGATATACATATACTATACATATGTACAAAAGGCTTAGCGGAGTAAGCATGTGAAATCGGCCGTTGATCATACAGAGCTGACATTAATGTCACAAGTTAGTACCAATATGATAAAACTTTCCACCAAATATTATTTTAAAAAATTCATTTTTTTAGAAGTTATGCTGGGAGAAAGTAAAATAAAGAAATATATTTTTCTCGAAAACCACTTGACCGATCTTGATGAAAAAAATATATGTTATGTAGACTAATAAAACTAATTAACAAAAAAAATGTCCAAAATGTTTGCCAAAAAAAGACCAAAAAAAAAATATTTGAATTTTTTAATATTTTTTTTTAGGGTGATATTTTCGAGGTACCCCTTTGAAATTTTTACGAAAATTTCTCTTAAAGTGTCCACTATAACATATATTTTTTTCAATTTTTTTTAAATGGTGGAACATTATAGTTAAAAATACGAAAATCGTAAGCGTCGCGTCACTCCGGCGCACAGTGCAGTGCCATTCCGCGTTGCGGGTGTTCGATGTAATTTTACTAGCACATATGTACGTCTGCAATTAGCCTATAATATGTATACTTTTTAATTTTTATAGTTTCCAGAGTTTACCACGTGGAGGTTGCAGTACGGTTTTAAACTCCTTATTGGGGTGCTTTTTTAACGTGAGTCCTCTCGCCTCTCACTATATTTCCGTAAAATCGGGGTGCTTTTTTAACGTGAGTCCCCTCGCCTTTCACTACGTTTC